TCTGTTCTGTTGCTTTTAGCTTCTGTTCTGTTGCTTTTAGCTTCTGTTCTGTTGCTTTTAGCTTCTGTTCTGTTGCTTTTAGCTGATGTTCTGTTGCTTTTAGCTGATGTTCTTTTGCTTTTAGCTGCTGTTGCTTTTAGCTGCTGTTATGTTGCTTTTAGCTGCTGTTCTGTTGCTTTTAGCTGCTGTTCTGTCGCTTTTAGCTGCTGTTGCTTTTAGCTGCTGTTCTGTCGCTTTTAGCTGCTGTTCTGTTGCTTTTAGCTGCTGTTATGTTGCTTTTAGCTGCTGTTCTGTTGCTTTTAGCTGCTGTTCTGTTGCTTTTAGCTGCTGTTCTCTTGCTGTTTTTCTGCCTTTAGGTTTTTCTCAGCTTATTACAGCTTGTGTTGTTTTCCTGTTATTTTTGACAACTTTAGCTCATGTTCTGCTTGTTTTAGCTTTGCTGAAACACATATTTCTATCTTTTTCAGCAGGTTGTTGTTGAATCGACACTTTTCCAGAGAAGCTCTTGAGTTTTGAGATGAATTTTATGTTATTTTAGTTGAAAAGTGAAAATAAAACGTGATTTTCTCTTTAGTCTCTGTAATCTGATGTGAGCTCGATGAAGTTTTAGCTTCTTCTTTCTGTGAAGTTGAGTTTTGAACAACAACCTGTTTCCTGCTCAAACACATTAAAGAATGTTGTTTTTCTTCTGTTTGCCTTCAGCTAAATAAAAATCAGGGTTAATGACTTCTGACAGAATCAGCGCTGCGTTAATAATTCATCACCAAACCTTTTTCTTCTTCTTCTTCTCGTATTTTTTGTCGGCTGGACTCTGCTGAGCCTCAGGTTTTCTGGTTTAAATTAATATTCGAGGATAAAGTTTGTCTGTTTTTAATGTTTGTAGGCGGAGCCACCAGAGCAGAGCTCGGACCTGCAGGACGTCTACAGCCAGTGGTTGAAGTGAGTCAAACACAAACTGTAAATAAAAACAAACTAAAGGCGCTGCTCCAGTGTAGTTATTCCTGTCTTGGCAGCCATCTTGGATCAGGTTGACTCTGTTTTTGTTGCAGGCTTTCTTCAGCTCAGGATGCCAAACAGGAAGTAGAAACTTCTAAGAAATCAAAGAAAATCAAAGAGCTCTCCACCAACGAAGAAGAGGAGGAGGCTGCAGGAACCGAACTCTGTACCGTCACAGAAGAAGACAAACCTTTGCTTGGTTTGTTATTTATTTATTTATTGTAAATATTCATTTCTGTGAAGAACTTGAGGAATAAAAAGAGTTTTTCTTCGTCTCTCAGAGGCAGATSTTCCATCGTCCACTGAGCAGCAGCTGGACGGTTCTGATGGTTCTGATGGAACCAGAACAGACGAGAAGCTCGACTCTGAAAAGACGAAACACGAGGAAACAAACGCAGAAGAAGAGGTGAGGATCTGATTCAATCCAATGAAACTTTATTTATAAAACAGTGAAAACAAAGTGATTCACAGATGAAACGAGTTGAAATATTTAGTGAAACGTTTCTGATCATCATGAGAACAGAACTGAGGTCCAGTCCCTGTGACCACACACACACACACACACACACACACACACACACACACACTGTTGTTGCAGCACCGTTGTGTGTTTTTATCTCCTCTTTTATGTCGACCCATCCATGCAGCCGATAATCCTGCTGCTCAGACTGAGATTAAACCAGGAGACAGCAGAGTTCTGCCCGTCTGAAACACTTTATTAAGAACAGATTTTAGTTTTAAATAGAAAAAAACATTATTTCATTAAAACTTTTCAAAAGTCAAAGTTTTTAACAAACATAAATGAAATTAATGAAAATTACAAAGTGAATAAAAGCAACAAATACGACAGAAAAACTATAAAATAAAGTGTAAAAGCATCTTAAAGAGGCCGAGTTTTAACTGGGAGTTTGGAAAAATTTCATTTTCAAAATAAAAGCCCAGCTTTTCTTAAAATACTGCATGTTGCCCCTCTCTTTTCAGTTTAAATTAGAAAAGAATAAGTTTGTAATCTCTATAATCTGTGCTCAGATTACGTGTTGGGATTACTCTCAGCTACTAATAATTAAAGGTTCGGAGCTCAGAAWATGTTAAACAGAATTTGTAGAAATTTGTTCCCAGAGCCACAAAAATGTGACTTTTTGATCTTAAAATGAATATTTAAAAAAAAAACTTAACATTTAAAC